TAGACAAATATCATGATCACATTACATTGTAATACAATTGTGATATTAAACAAACACTATTGATCCCCGAAATCCTTTGTAATACCAATGTTCACTTTGTCTGGTTTTGTTGCAGTATGCCCCATATACAAATGAATCTGTATCTGTATATAAAAGAGTTGCTTTTTCACCATATTCGAGCTTAACATAGTCATACCAATATTGATACATCCAGAGCTTGCTGAGATCTAATACAGCTGATCCTACATATATTGGCTTATTAAGTAATACTTTTTCCTTACCTAGATGCACTGCACATAAGTTATCATTAAAAGCTCTGAAATCTCTGCATCTAGGTTTGGCTATATTCTTTATCACAGCATGCTCTGATTGCCAGTCATCATTGAGCTTTATTAACTTTATGTCAGTATAATTTCGAATATTTTCCATAGTCTTTCCATATATTGAATTATTCATGAGTTTAAAGAAGTCTTTTTCAAACTCATTCTTAGCATTTTTTCTCATATCTGTATTAAATTCAATAAATGGTGCAAGCCAAGGTGATTGGTCGAATTCTAAGACCATATGAATCTTAGTAATTTCCATACCCTTTTTTACATATTATTGTAATGTTCTATAATGGACTGCATATTCCTTTTTTTCCATAAGGTTTGGGCATAGCTTCTTACCTTTCACAAAAGTACATTCTTTTACTTCTTTTTCTTTACCGGTTTTTGGATCAATGGTTTTAACTTTTTTATTAATTATCTCATTTTGCTTCTTTGATAGCATATCCTTTGTGATTTCGATATTTTCTGGAGCTAGTGGGTAGTCATTATGAAGATTATGTAGCTCTTCAGGATAACTAAGGTCAACTACAAATGTATATCCCTTTGGACCTTTTTCTGGGATACTCATAATATCTGGAGCATTATTTGGATTAATCCACTTGAAACCACCAGTTGGGAGATATTGAGACATTGCCCATCCATATAAATTATTTGCATCTACATACATTAAGTATTTTTTTGGACGCTTTTTATTATATCCTGAGCATTTTGGGATATTTGCTTTACCATATCTTTTTGAGACCATAGATACTCCACCACGTTTTTGACTTTCTGTAATATCATGCATAAGTGTATCTGTAAATAAGTCTAACTCAATATTGGTGTATTTTAACATAGCATCCCAAGCATAAGATGCTGTTGAAATATAGTATGCTGGATCTATTTCATAGTATTCCATTGCAGTATCTCTGAATGCTTCAAACACATCACAGAGTTGCATTACATCTGCTTTGAGATAAATATCATGATAATCCCCAAATGTTTTACATCCGAATTTTTCCCATACTAGATTAGCATGTTCATAGTCTTCTGATGTTATATTACCACCAAGAGTACTATGAAAGCATTCTATTGAGGGAAGTTCTTTTGCGCTAAATTTTTCAGGTGAATTGACCCAATCATATGGATATTGTGGGATCAAAATCCGTATCTCACACAAATCTCCTGGATTTGGTTAAACTACTATCTTTGTGGCAGTATCCAGCAATGTAATTCTTTGATTACTTTCTTTGCTATAGCATTTGAGTTATTTAATTTATTTACACACTTTGGTGTCTTGGCAGCTAATAGCGCTCTAGCTATTACTCTGTGAGAGGGCAAGTGTCTGACTTCCCTTCCGGTAA